CGCAACCACCTGTCCGTGCGGCATCACACCGCCAAACACCTGCTTGTCGTGGACGACGCCGTCGCAGCGCCGGACACCACCGTGCACCATCTTGTCGTGGTCGACGCCGTCGCAGCGCCGGACACCACCATGCACCATCTTGTCGTGGTTGACGCCGTCGCAGCCGTTGCCTCCGCCCAGCACCACGGCGGCCACCATAGCCGCCGGCACCGTCGTCGCCGCCACGGATCAACAAGGCTCTGATGCCAATTGTTGGCGCCGCCTCCCGCAGCGCCGCACTTCATCTTCTTCCTCGAGTTGCCTCTCACAACTCTCACTTGTGTTTCTCTCTTCTCAAGAACACACACAAGGGAAAGAAGACTCAACACACACACACACACGCATACATCAAGAAGAAGCACAAGAGCTTTGCCGAGGCGCTCTCTCCTTGATGAATACACTGGCTACATCTTTGGTGCTCAGCCCTCACGGCCTCCCTATTCTCATTCATTTGTTGAACTTAAATAGGCAGTACAAATGACTTCACACCCAGCCACTAACTCACGCACGCACACACTAGGCTGACCGACGCACTCGGCCACTATCCTACACACGTCGGCATAACACCATCTCCTCCTAGAATCTCTCCAGGATATGCATCACCTGCTAACTAACCTACACTCGGTCATGCACAAACAGACTCAACGCATGCATGGCTACATGACCGACCTTTTAGCTAGCCCACTAACCAACCCATACATGCAGCTAACGACGACTCCATTCATGCAAACTAACTCACCGTCCAGCCGGCCAGTCCTGCTTCAGCCATCTACGTGTGTGCCGTATCACACGACCTTGCCGCCTCGCGCGGCACCGCGGTGTCACGCCGCCATCGGCAGCCCGGCATCTCGCCGTATCACACGGCAGCCCGGCATCTCGCAGTCTCCGCATGCCTCCGCTGAAACTTCACCGGACTAGCTACTCTCTAACCTATGCAACATGCATAACAAAAGCAAACTAAATATGCAGATACATGAATCAAGATTAAACCTAACAGCGCATTGATTTAACCCATGAATCCAACCCGAAACCGACCCGAACATCTCATTTCTTGACATAATTTATTTGTTTAGTGCTAGGCAGGGGTGTGGGAAAATTAGTTTCTACAATGGGAAAATTCCAAAATACCGTTTATCATATGATAAACAGGGCCAACTGTGATAGGAGTACATTTTATAAAACATAATGCTGCATCTTGCAATGCAAATATTTGAACTACGTTTGCTTAACCATACTGTCAGGCCGGTAGCTAGCAGAGATGTTCAGGGGTTCGAAGACTAAGCAGCAGGTAGCAGGGCAGTGGAAGTAGTTTACTACTATTATTAGGTTCTCAGCAGGGCAGAGGGTGACGTTGATGGTGACGTGACTACACCAATCGGGTTCATTCGGTTCGGGTTGCTTCAGCTTCCAACAAAATTTTCCACAAAACGGACTGAAAACAAAGAGCATGCACGTGTCAACACACCATTGGTAAAAAAAATCGACATAGACTCAAATCAAAATCAGTTGACTGATAAGTAGACACTCCCTTTCTTTTAAAAGGGGAGTCAACCAAAAACCTGAAAACATCAAATATTTGATGTTTCCAGAATTTTGACCATTTCTCAAACTCCTCCACATCTATGCTTTCCATACTTTACACCTTCACATATTTTCTATGTCCATTTCTCAAACTCCGGGGAGCTGATAACTGAAATGTAACATTCGGGTCAGGTTCGGAACTTCGGATTACGTGGGGCTGGGCGAAGATGGACGGCACTACAGCATCTTCCTCTCTTGGGATTGGGTGACTGCGACTATATGGTCCAGCGTTGCCAAGGAGCATTCGGGTTCGGACCGGGTTCTGCTATCAGTTTGGGAGGAAAAGAAGTCTTTAGCAAAAGATGGCTCCATTCGCATGCATTCGTGTGCCCAAGGTCACCGTCACGGAGGATTCAATAAGAGCAAAACATGAAGACCCAATAGCACAAAGAATGATTCAGGCATCACAAACATCATCATGATTCAAGAATAATAGAAGCAGAAACAGGAAAATCATCCACAAACCATCACAGAGTTCCGAACCCGAACGGAACCGATCATGTTCGCTCCTAGATTCCATAGGTAATTAAGTATCATGCACTGACCTTGGTGGCTTTGCCACACATGGGCTTGTCATTTTCGCCAATGCACCTTTTACCTATCTGCGATGCCCCACCACTTGAATCTGAACCGAACCCGAAGAATACTATACAGGCCTGTTGGCTGGACAGAATAATTATCTATAGAATGCTAAGCATACTTAGCGCTGCAATCACGACTCCTCATCAGACCCAGAAATGTGCTTTTAATAGTGATATCGTCGTAGTGTTCATTGAAACTGAACATTTTCTTTGTCTTGTACAGTAGAGAATCATTGATGGATACTTGGTTGCCTAGTTTTTTTGGTACCTCACTCTGTATGCAAGGGGAACTAAAAAACGAAAATCTGAAACCACTATTAGGAAACTGAACGTGCATTTGACCGGCTACTGTTGTCTGTGCATTAAGCCCAAATCTGAAACTACCATTAGCTTGTGTATATCCACAGTGACTTGTTTGAGATAGTATTGAGCTTGGATAATAGCTGCTGCTGACAGACAAACATGTAAGGTTGCTTCAAAAAACTTCACTGGTGCTTTAACAGACCAACCTGAATAGAGGAGTGGCAACCACGAACCGGTCAATCCCGGTTCTAATTGCCCATTTTTTCCGTTTATATTAAGATAGCGACGTGACACACGTGACACATTGACTTAACCCATGAATCCGATCCGAAACCGACCCGAACATCTTGTTTCTTCACTTAAGTTATTTCTGGAATGCTACGCAGGGGTGTGAGCAAATTAGTCTCTAGGTTGGGAAAAATCCAAATCCTGTTAACCAACGTGATAAACAGGCAGGGTCAAATGTTGATATGCAACACAAAAATGAGATGGCAGTACATTTTGGAGAACAGACCATTGTTGCATTATGGAATGTTAATATTTGAACTAGGCTTGCTTATAAAGAGATTGACCGGGCAGTAACAAGTACTCCCTCGGTAACATTTTATAAGACGTTTATAGATTCCATGACAATGTTAAAAAACGTCTTATATTATGTTGTGGAGGGAGTACATCTTACAACATTTTATACTCTACTCTTCAGCCCCCCTCGAACTCTGTTGTGAATGTACTTTGATTTATTAATGCAATAGTTTAAGCCAGCGTAACTCCGCCATAGCACCGTCAAAAACACAAGGATGCTGGGGGCAGAGGCGAATGCGCCGACCGGGTTCGGTTCGGGACTTCGGGTTTGTGGAAATTCTGCGTCAGCTTCCGGCATCAAAGCAGGGGACTGATGGCTCGCTGACGAGGCGCCATCCTCTGCCTTTTCCACAGCGCTTCCAGCAGCCGTTCGTTTTCTCTTCGGGTTGCCACTGCTAGCTCTGGACGAGCGGCCGTTGTCTATAAATAGACAGACCCTGAAGGCCGAACTTTGTACCATTCCGCAAGACCAAGAAGCTCGAGCGAAACCACAACACTTCTCCACCACCATGGCCATCCTAAGCGACATGTCACCCTGATCTCCGGCACTTTCTCCGACCGGAAGAACCTCCCGCGGGCGCTCATCTCCTGCGGCGTCCTCAAGGCCGCGGCGGCGCTCTGCCTCCTCCTGTTCAAGGCCCCCGGGGCATCTTCCTCCATCACGGCAAGGGGCCTCTCTACCTGTACTTCGCCATCCTCATCGCCATGGTGGTATTTGGAATCGTCGAGGTGCTAGTCGGCGTCTGGGTGTCCAGCGAGCTGGAGGAGCGGCATTGCCATCGGGAAGACGGTCCTCTGGATGTCTATCCTCCCTATGGTTTTTGTAGCCGCGCTCGGGGGCTTCGGCGTCCTGTATAGATTGTGAACTGTGTCCGCAAGGTTTGCTTATTTGTTATCGACTTATGATTACTATGACACTGATCCATATGTGGCTTCCGACCGATGTGAAATAAATTTTGACTGAGAGTAATGAAGTATCGCCTCCGTCCAAAAATACTTGTCGGAGAAATGGATGCATGTAGACGTATTTCAGTTTTAGATACATCTATTTTTATTCATTTCTGCGACAAGTAATTCAGGACGGAGGGAGTAGTTAATATGATTGATTTTCCGTGCATATCTCTATTTTTTGTGCTCACATATGCCAAGATGAAAGTTAGAAAGGGAATTATTCGAAAAATAGGAAGGAAACTAGCTGTAGTTTTACCTACTTTTCACCATATAGCACCAAAAGCTTTTATTTTTAGGAATATTTATACAAGATTTTAATTATGATTTTATTTTCCTAATTTATGTTTATAAAAGAAAATATTGATATACAATTTAATTGTTTTAAAATAGAATGTTCATTTATACAAACAAAATTCATATGTGTGAAAAATAATTAAGTTAGTTATCATTTTTCATGTATTAGGAAGTACTTGTGCATTAAAACAATGTTCTTATGTTAGGCATGTATTTGAAACATATTCATGCACTTTAAAAAAATCTTGATGTCTTATGTGAAGATATTGTGTATTTTAGAAGAAAAATGTTCCATGTGTTAGGAAAAATAAAAAAATACAAGGAAAAAGCACAAAAAGGGAAAAGGTCGAGGAAAATAAAAGTGGGGTACAGATTGGTGAAAAAACAGGCAGACATACTTCAAAACACATAACGTTTAGTAAACACGAAAATAAAAGGATTATACCAACTTTTCGTCTTCGTTACTCAAAGTGAAATCATTTGCAAAGCTACGTACATTTATGATTTATGTTAGTACTAATCTGAACTGAACGTTTCTAAAGTCAACCACCTCCCTTCCTCTTCCTCTGAACCCCTCCCTCTCCCTGCTACCGTCTCTCCATCTCCCATGCCATAGCGCTCTGTTGCCGCTATCCATCACCTGCTTTCGCGGTTCCGTCGGATCTGATCATGGAGGCGGTGGAAGACACCAATCTGGAAGCCGCGATCGGTTGGCTCGCAGACACCATCCTCACGAATCTCCCACCTGGCGGCAACCTGGAGTCCTGGATCCGCCAAGCTGGCCTCGGCACTACCGGACTCGCGGTCTATGCCTACGGCCACGGGCCGTCGGCATAGGCCCCTAGGCCGTCGGCATAGATCTATGCCGACGGCAGCCGTCGGCATAGAGCCGTCAGTCTAGATTACGTCAGCGTACTCCTGTCAGACCGTCGGCGTAATAATGCCGTCGGCATAGGAGGGTATGCCGACGGCCCTGGCGCAGCCGTCGGCATAGTTTAGCCGTCGGCGTAGTTTTCCGTCTGACGGAAACGGACGGCGCCGTCAAACTGCTGGCGGGTTAGGAGGCGACACGTGGCAGGGCTATGCCTACGGCAAAGCTGTCGGCATAGGTTTAACCTATGCCGACAGCTTTGCCGTAGGCATAGCCCTGCCACGTGTCACATCCTGGTGTAACCTGGTGGCATGGCTATGCCTACGGCAAAGCCGTCGGCATAGATATAAATCTATGCCGACGGCTTGGCCGTAGGCATAGCCCTGCCACGTGTCGCCTCCGGGTGGCTCCTGAGCGTATCTATGCCGACGGCTTTGCCGTAGGCATAGTTTTTTTTTATATCCCTTGTTTTCTCTTTTCCAATTCATTTGACAACATTTCAAAACAGAATAATATGAAATATGACAGTTCATCAACATCATTTAAACATAGTCAATTTCATCATCTAAAGATCATCACCGGCGAAAGTCCACGAACATAAGAGTAGTGCAAGACATGAAACATCATAAAAGTTGAAACATGAAAGACATGGCACAACGGCCGCATACACGGAATCATCATCGACATCAAGCACCACCGAGTCCACCTCCTCCAAAACCACCACCACCACCGAGTCCACCTTCGCCAAAACCACCACCAAGTCCACCTCCGCCAAAACCGCCACCGCCAAGTCCTCCTCCGCCAAAACCGCCACCGCGACCACCATCACTCTGCCAGATCGGAGTGACTGGGGTCGACGGAGCAGGAGTCGAGCCACCGGTCCCCTACATGTTTGAAAGAAGATTCTAACGATAAATATGACATGATAGTGTTGAATGAACGAGAACTAGTTTGTCTTTAGTTAGGCAAATTTACTAACCGGAGTATCACCGCCTAGTGCCAGCCATTCCTCGAACGTGGGAATGTGTGGGGCGTCTCCCGCAGGTGGTGGTGGGGGTCCAACTTGTGGTGGCTCCGTGCGGTTAGTCCAAGACGCCAACATAGCCTGGATGTTAGTTAAACAAGTCCACTTAGAAACAAGCCGTGATCAACAAAGTTAGAAGGAATGAAAGTGCAAATTTGAGCTTGGTTTAAGAGGGCAAAACTAACCGCCATCACTTGACGGTTGTAATCATCGTTTGCCTTCACTCGTTGCAAGTACTCCCTCACCTCAATATGCCTATGCTCGAGAAAGGTCTGATATGCCTACAAAATTGAGGTTGTTTCTAAGTGGGCAGTGATGAAAATAAACTAAGAAAGATAGAGACAAAGAAGATAAGGGGAAGTACTTACAGCACGTTGGCGGACTAAGGGAGGCTGCGAACGCCCCGTACTCTCTAACGGGCTCGGGTTGGTAGCTCGAAGCCGTGTGTACGAGATTGACGGAGTGACCAAGCCATCGAAACACGGATACCGGCCATGGGACTTACCCTGGATGGCCACCACCGCCGTGTCGTCGATCTGAGACTGGGCGACCTCAGGAACGGGAACATCCGGATGCAACTTCTGATAGTCCCGAGTGTAAGACTCCAGGTGTTTCTCGGTGTTGCCGTAGTACTGGCTCTCGCCCTCCTTGCGATCACTCCGCTCGCGGGCCAGCTTCCACGACTCCATGTCTGAGAGCGGCCTCTGCAACTTGTCCTCCTGCAACGTCAAACAGAAGTTAGCCATACATAAGAACATGACGGTAAAGAAGAACCAAAATGCATCTTTCATATAGATATACCTTCATGGCTTTGAAGCCCCAGTGGTTCCTGTTTCCTTGGCCGTGTGTCCCGTCTTTTCCACGGTTAGCCCGGGCCTTGATGCTCTTGGCAACAAACTCTGGATCGTCACCGACCCACCTATCCACCAAACACGCCCACCCGTCATGCCTTCCATAGCACCAACGAGGAACAACCTATGCAAATTTTGGAAGCATGACATGTGAGCACGAAACATATAGTTGACTCCTTGAAACAATGAAAAGTCAGTAATATTTACCATCATGAACTGCTTCCTGCTCATGGTAATTTTTTGCCTCTGTGCTTGAGTTTTGTTCATCTTTTGTTGCAGGTAGATGTGGTAGTACTATGAGATGGCAACCCAACGCACCTCGTACTGCAACTGACGAGCTTTCTTCTTTGCAGACGCAAGTAAGACCACGTCGGCTTTGGCCTTGTGCTCATCAAGAACTCTATAGAGTTGCTGCAATCATGCATAAACCAGAAGCAAACAAGGCATGATTTGAGTGATTCAATGATAAACTATGAACGAAACTAAAGACAAGTGATTCAAAAGGGAACTTACCCAAAATTTGGTGATCACGGCCTTAGCGGCCGTCCCGTACTCCGCGTTGCTGCAAGCCTCGTAGTGGGCCCAGCTTGTGGCCAAAACACGCAGCTGTGGGTCCCTGTCTGGCCGCGGGCAGATAGGCCAGGCCAAAACTGCTTCAACAGGACAGTGAGAAGGCCGTTCGGTTTACGGCCCTTTCCGTGAAGGATCCAGTTACTGCAAAAGAATCAAAGGGTTGCCATGTGTACAATAAAAAAATGTTGTCATGTGTTGAAAGTATGATTGAGATGCACTTACTCTGTCCCCGCAGGTTCAATGAGCCACCTGTGTGCCTCGATAGAAGGTGGTGTAGGTACTCCGGCATTACCACGCAGCCACCCCTACGGAGCACCCGATGGCAAGTCACCCCACAACTCGGGGTCAACCTCCCCTCCACCCTCCTCGCCCTCCTCGGCCTCCTCCTCCTCGGCCTCCTCCTCCTCGGCCTCCTCCTCCTCACCCTCCTCCTCCTCGACATCAGGAATATACTCCTCCTCCTCAGACTCAGAAGCTGCATCAGCATAGGAGGGCATCAAAGAAGACCCTCCTATTTCGGACACGGACGGGCTTTGACGAGTGGACCTCTCCAGCCGGTTGTGTTAGTTCGGCCCATAGGGACACCCGGGAGCAACATCCGGGCCAAACCCACAGCTACATCCACTCCGTGTAGACCCGACGCGTCCGTTTCCCCCCTCCCAGTGCCGGCGGCGGGGCCGTCCGTGAGGGGGCCACGCCCCGGAGACGCGTGTCGCCTCTTCGGACATGCCACAACACCACCCCGCATGTATGAGGGCCCGATACGATGCTCCGGTGGCATTGCTACCCCCAGGGCCCCCGTCCCG